AAAATGGAGGGAAAATGAAGGAAAATGGAGGGAAAATGGAGGGAGAATGGAGGGAAAATGGAGGGAAATAGTGGAAAATTGAAGGATAATGGAGGGAAAATGAAGGAAAATGGAGGGAAAGTGGAGGGAAAATGGAGGGAAAATGGAGGGAAAATGAGAGGAAAATTGAAGGAAAAATGGGGAAAAAATTGGGGGAAAATGGAGGGGAAATGGAGGGAAAATGAGAGGAAAATGGAGGGAAAATGGAGGGAAAATGGAGGGAAAATAGAGGGAAAATGGGAGGGAAAATGGAGGAAAAATTGAGGAAGAAGGAGGGAAAAATGGAGGGAAAATGGAGGGAAAATGGAGGGAAAATGGAGGGAAAGTGGAGGAAAAATTGAAGGAAAAATGGGGAAAAAATGGAGGGAAAATGAAGGAAAATGGAGGGAAATTTGGGAAAATGGTGGGAAAAGCGGGAATCTCCGTGTGGAATGCCCCACCCTGGATCCTTTGCCGTTGTGGTTGCGGGAGTAGGGGTAGAAGGCTCCCAGTTCCATCCAGCGGGCGCAGAGCTCGTAGGTGGAATCTTGGAAAAATCCGCAAATGTCGGCGCCGGTCTGGGAGGAGAAAAAAAAAACGGGATGGGAATTCCCGGGAATTCCGGTGGGAATGAGGAAATGGGGGCGGGACTTACGTAGGAGATGCCGAAGAGGCTGAATTCCAACATTCCTGGGGGGGGAAAAAAGGGGAAATTTAGGATGGGAAATGGAAAAAAAATTGAGAATTTGGGGGTGAAAAAGGGGGAATTTGGGATGGAAATAAAAAAAATTGGGAATTTTGGGGGTGAAAAGGGGGAATTTGGGATGGAAATTCTTAAAAATTGGGAATTTTGGGGATTAAATATTTGATTTTTTGAGGAGGGGAATCAAGAAAAATGTGGAATTGTGGGTCTAAAAAGGGGGAATTTGGGATGGAAATAAAAAAAAATTGGGAATTTTGGGGGTGAAAAGATGGAATTTGGGATGGGAATTAAAAAAAATTGGGAATTTTGGGGGTGAAAAGGGGGAATTTGGGATGGGAATTTAAAAAAATTGGGAATTTTGGGGGTGAAAAAGGGGAATTTGGGATGGGAATTTAAAAAATTGGGAATTTTGGGGAAAAAAATTTGATTTTTTGAGGAGGGGAATCAAGAAAAATGTGGAATTGTGGGTCTAAAAATGGAAATTTAGGATGGAAATTAAAAAATATGGAATTTTGGGGGTAAAAATGTGGAATTTGGGATGGAAATAAAAAAATTGGGAATTTTGGGGGAAAAAAATTGGATTTTTTGAGGAGGGGAATCAAGAAAAATGTGGAATTGTGGGTCTAAAAAAGAGAAATTTAGGATGGAAATAAAAAAATTGGGAATTTTGGGGGTGAAAAAGGGGGAATTTGGGATGGGAATTTTAAAAAATTGGGAATTTTGGGGGTAAAAAGATGGAATTTGGGAAGGAAATAAAAAAAAATCGCAATTTTGGGGGTGAAAAAGGGGAATTTGGGATGGGAATTAAAAAAAAATTGGGAATTTTGGGGGTGAAAATGGGAATTTGGGATGGGAATTTAAAAAAATTGGGAATTTTGGGGGTAAAAAGGGGGATTTGGGATGGGAATTTTTAAAAATTGGGAATTTTGGGGAAAAAAATTTGATTTTTTGAGGAGGGGAATCAAGAAAAATGTGGAATTGTGGGTCTAAAAAAGGGGAATTTGGGATGGAAATTAAAAAAATTGGGAATTTTGGGGGGGAAAAGGGGGAATTTGGGATGGGAATTTTAAAAATTGGGAATTTTGGGGGTAAAAAATTTGATTTTTTGAGGAGGGGAATCAAGAAAAATGTGGAATTGTGGGTCTAAAAAAGGGGAATTTGGGATGGAAATAAAAAAAATTGGGAATTTTGGGGGTTAAAAAAGGGGAATTTGGGATGGGAATTTTAAAAAATTGGGAATTTTGGGGGTGAAAAAGGGGAATTTGGGATGGAAATTTAAAAAAATGGGAATTTTTCGGGGTGAAAAGGGGGAATTTGGGATGGAAATTTTAAAAATTGGGAATTTTGGGGGTAAAAAGGGGAATTTGGGAAGGAAATTTTTAAAAATTG